ATGCAGGTGGAGTCAGTGAGTAAGAAAGAGAAGGCCAAGCAGAGGCCACAGGCCTTGAACACAGTGGAGATGTTGAGAGTGGCCAGCTCTGCCTTGGGTATGTTCACATCAACATAAACACTATTAGTTTTCCTCTAGGCAGTGAAATTATTGAGGTGTGTGTATGTCTGTGTGTGTGTGTGTGTGTGTGTGTGTGTGTGTGTGCACTTTGTTTGGATTAGGCCTCAGCTATTGATTATTTTCAACATCAATCAATCCACTGATTATTTTCTTGATTAATCAATTAATTGTTTGGTCTATAAAATATCAGAAATGATCAAAATGCTCATTATAATTCCCCGTAGTGCACAGGGTATCGAAATTGTTTGTCCAGTCTTCACATTTGAGAAGTTTGAACCAGTAAATTTAGGTTATTTTCACTTAAAGATAAATCGATCATCACAATTGTTTCTGATTATTTTTTGTCCAATCAACTTATTGATTAATCTCAGCAAATACTGGCACATGAGAAGTGATTCACTAGCACTAAAACAGCTGAAACCATTTAAAGATACTGTTCAGTATGAGCAGTAACACAGTGATTCAAATATATACTATACAATATTCACCGATTCATAGTTCACAGTTTCTGTTTTTAAGACGTTAAGATGGATTTATTTGTTTACTAACTTTACAGTGCATTTATTACAAGTATTCTGATGCTCACACTCAATATATTGTTGTGCTCCGCTTACATTTTTCTCATGAAGTATCTTTGTTTTTACAGTCTTGTCACCTTTTTGATTTATATTTTTAATTTTGCCTAATTTTATGTCCATTGATCTGTAGCCATATTATTGCCTGAAATGGATTGCCAGTGTTAAACAGATTCAAATGCTTCTGATAAGGTTCATGTGTAATGTCTAAACAATGAAATAAAGCATGTTTATTCACTAAGCCTTTGTGTGTGTCAGACATAACTTTTTATTTACAGGTTACATAATGATAGATTCGGCTTTTTGCTCATTGTTACATAATTGAGACCATTCCACCTTGTTAAATGTCTTACTGCGCACACATTAGCATTGTTTTGCTGGATAAATTTAAATGCACTTTAATTTACACTTTATCATATATCTTGTCAACTGATTTGATTACATGCTGACTTGAAACATACCTGACAACTCTAGTAATATATATGTATGTATATAATTTAATATAGGTGTGTAGAACATTTCACATGTGAATGTGACAAAATGTGACAGGCCAAACAATCTGTAAACCTAATCTCACTCACTGCTTAATATTATCTGTACGTTTACAGGATTTGACCATTGGTGACTTGTTTTGATGATTTCTTCCTCTTCCTCTTTCAGTGTTCTTCTACTGCATTTAACTGGCAGCCTACAGAGTTGAAACAGAAAACAGTCAGGGGTGTGTCTGCTTACACCTTCATCAGTAATCAATAATAATACATCTCCAGACGGACAGTGGAGACAAACAAAGTCGCACTGTGGTTTGTCACTTACTGCCATACTGGACTTGACCGCTTGTAACTGGAAGAAGACTCGCCCCCCTTCCTCAGGACACAATGTCTTCAGTTCCTCTCTGGTCATCCCCAGCAGCATAGAGCCGCTCAGCACGCCCAGACAGCGCACAGTGCTGCAAGAGATATATATATATATATATAGTAAAATTGATCTGTCGTTAATCAATGCTGGCGTTCATTCTGGCCGGAAAAAGTGTTGTTTAACCAAACGAATGTGTCGCTTGAGAGAAGGTTTTTAAGTTAACACTGTTCTTTTATAACATGTTCGTTTAGAAAAAAATAAAATAAAACTGGTCAAAATTCTGCTTAAGTATTAAAGAGGTATTCATCGATTTACTATTGCACCTCCATAAAGGCTTGGGCGTTCACAAGTTTAGTAAAAATTGTAAAATCAACTCAACACAGCAAAGGCCATTATGTCCTCCAAAAACACTGGATCCTACATTTCCCATAATGCAACTCAATATAGTCTTTCATTAGACCAAGCAGCAAGCAGATTATTTTAATTAGTAAATTCAGTCATAGAAGTAACACTATATTAGATGTTCACATTCAGGTATAATAGAATATACTTTTGGTACAAAGGCCAAATCTAGCCTCCATTGCATATTTTAATGTAATAACTGTATGCACTTACATTTTACTAAAGCCTTTGTCTTCGAGCCAGGCTTTCACTTCTGCAGCCTTGGACCTCTTTGTTAGGACAGGAGGACCTTCAATATGCTGAGAAAATGGAATAATAATGCACAATGATCTGACGTAAACGTTTTTTGCACATTAAGATGAGATAAGATAAGATGTTCCTTTATCGATCCCCCGTAGGAGAAATTCAAATTAGAGTCAGCAAAGGGGAATGAATATTATAAAAATATAAAATATAAAATACAAAACTATAATTTAATTCATTTATTACACCAGTGATCCCATCAAGTAGACTTTCTGTGTTAGTGGCACCCACCTCGATGGGTTGCTCATTATTAGCCTGCAGGACATTATTGGGAACGAAGCCCTCCTCCCCTCTGCTGTCCCTCACTTTCCACCACTGCTTCGACTTGTCCAGCAGCTGTGGATGGACAAAGTAAAGACGAGTCAGGGTTTGAAGACAAAATACTTGAAACAATACAGAGCAGAAAAAAGTGGTTGGTTCATGTCACTAATACTCACCTCAACTATGTCTCCTTTTCTGACGGTGAGCTCTCTGTGGTTTCTTGAATCGAAGTCATACACAACATGCATGTGTATCGGTTTTGACAATCTAGAGCTGAAAAACACATCAAAGTGCATCAAAAACTTTTGAGGTTTAAAACAGTCATGTTACATTGAAATGTAGGTCACGTGCGTGTGCTTACATTGCTTTTTTTGGTGGTTGCGGTTTTTGTGATGGTTGTGGTGGTTGCGGTTGTCGTGCTGGTTGTGCTGGTTGGGATGGTTGTGGTGGTTGTGCTGGTTGTGATGGTCTCCACTTGGCTGCAGTCTAGACATAAAGAGTACCTAGGCTTGTTATATGTTCTTCTTTTTCTCTCTCTCCAAACTACCTGTCTGTCTGTACTGGTGTCATGCTGAATGTTTGATGTGAGGGTTTACCTGGCTGGGTCCAGGTTGTGGATCCTCCCGTCTGCTCACAGGTTCTCTGGGTTTAGGTGCTGCAGACACCTCAGGGGGCTGCCAGCCATCAAAGAACTCCAGAGTGTATGTTGGGATGTCTTCATCATCTTCTGGCCATTTAGTGCTGGTAATATTGTCAAAAACAACTGATTATTATCCCGTTACTCATCGGAAACACACTTTTACACACATTTTACCACTGGTCCAGTGGTCAGATCCTTTAGTCAAATAAAAGCACCAGTGCAGTACAGTGAAAATACTTAGTTCTTCAAATCATAAATAGAGAAATGTACATAAGTATTATGAGCATAAACAAATAGTATCAAAAATAAAAAGACTCATTCTACATGCAGCATTTTCCTGCTGTAGCTGGTTGAGATGGAGCCAGTTTGAGCTACTTTATATCCAAATGTGTAGTTTAGTCCAGTGGTTCCCTTCCAAGGGGACGCAAGACAAATCCTGCAAGTTTTGAGATGATGAATCTTTGCTTTTTTAATGAAATAATGGATATATTTTACCTCTTTGTGGCTTGAACAGCTGTTCAATGCAACCATGTAAGAGGTTTAGAGGAGAAATGTCTCCTTGGTGGAACTGACTCATCTTAAATGTAGTGTAGTGTCCCAACTAAACACAGATTTTTTGTAAGGGGTTACAATCCAAAAAGTTTCATCTTTAACAATATATTCCCTAGTATTTCATAAGGTTTTTGTGTGTTTTTAATGTAAAATCTTCATCTACAAATACACTAGTTTCTATACCTGTCAGATAAATGCAGTGCAGTAAAAAGTATATTTCTGAAATGTAGTGGAATGAGAATATGAACCAGCATAAAATGAAAATACTGGTATAGTACAAGTACTTCAAAATTGTACTTAGGTACAGTAGTTGAATAAATGTACTTAGTTTCTTTCCACCAGAGCAGAGGTGTAGTGAGATGATGCTTAGATTTTGGTCTCATGCAGAAAATAAAAGCAGTAGCTTAGTAGGTCCAACATAGTCCAGTGTCCCACCTGGGGATGTTCCAGGCGTCTCCCAGAGACTGCCACAGCTGGTCCTCCTCTGCGGAGGCCTCTTCACTCATCAGACGGATACACTGGGGTATCAGCAGCGGCGCCACAATGGTCTGTGCCAGATCCTCAGGAGAGTGAGATACCACCTGGTGAGGAAGAGCATAACTTACTAAGTGCAGTAGTTAGGCTGGTTAAATGAGGGTTCACACTGGATGATGAGACAACGGAGACATGATGGTCAACCAATTTAGCAAATAATTTAGATAAAATGATCCAGCATCATGAAGAGCTGATTTTACAAACATACTGTAGACGCTTTAACTATGTCAAAGGTTGACTTAATTCTATATAACAACACAAACTTTATATTATATGAAGACCTATAATACAGTATGTGATAGAATAGGATTTTAAGTGTAAACTTTTTAAGTGATTATAGGTTCTATCCATTAAATTGAAGAGATTTAGTCACTTACAAATGCCAATGTGGAGAATAAGGAGTGAACTAATTGAGGAGCACTGGGATTGTTAATCTTTCCGTTGAGCTCCCCCTGTCAAAAAAAAAACATTTTCACACATAATACAATGCTGTTAAACATAATGTACACTGCAGAGATACAGGAATACAAGAGACCATGATATGTAAATGAAATTAAGGACACATACCAGAAGATTGAAACCACTTTTGATTTTGTGGAAACACACTGCAAATTCTGCTGCGGGGGGCATGCCATCCATGGCTAAAAAATCAAAATCAAAACACGATGAAAGCATCACAACTGATGATATTTATACATTATAAAAAGTCATTTTGTGTAAGTTATCATTTACAGTCTACAGATTTGTCTGCCTTCATTTTCTACATTAACTTACCTTTTCCTTTTTTCTTTTTCTTCTTTTTCTTTGCATTTTTAGCCACTACTGCAGCTACTTGTCCCATGAAGATTTCTATGTCACCTAAAATATGATTCAAGATATCCTGTAAACAAAGAAAAAGAAAATCGTTTCCACATTCTTCTTTGGTTATTGAACGTGTATCCTGTTTAAAACGTACAAAACCCAAAACATGTCAGAGGGTATCGTGTATCAAATACAGCTTTCACATCTCCCATGTCTGAGAACAAAAGGACACTCACTACATTCCTGTCCAGCTCTGTGTATGGGCGTTGAGACGGTGGTTCTTCTTCGGTAGTGAAAGTCTGGGGTAATGGCACTTCCTCCTCCTCCTGAGGTACAAACTGTTCAGGCTCATGGACGTCATCCTCCTCTGTATGTACAAAGGAGACTGAAGGTTTGTATTGACTCCATCATTAGTAATCAGTGCAGTAGTTGTATATCAGCTGTCACAGGCTTACCATAGTCAGGAGCCAACCACTGGGGCATTGGGTCAACTGCAAACATCTCCTCTTTAGGTTCAGAAGAGTTTTCAACGTTGTGAAGGTTTTTCATTCCCTCATGTTCAGCTATAAGTCCTGCGTTGCTGCTTCTAAAAGTGTGAGAGGCATTTTAAAGAAAAGGTAATAAACAAATAATAAAGTTTCAGACATTCGTTTACACTGACTTTAGGTTCTTACCTAACGCTTGAATCCTCTTTCCTGTCTGACAATGCACGTGAGAGACTCCTTTCAACAAAGTTAGCCTGTAAACAACAACAATTAATAAATAAATTTATACCATTTACTCACTCATTTGTTTCACTTAGCAGTCATAATAAAAGCCATTTTAATGTGTGTGTCCTCACCCTGACATCCTCACACTGAAACAAGAAAACAGTGGTGGTGTGGTTTCTCTCATTCTGGACTGACACTGTGAGCAGAGAGTTAAACAATCCAGAGTCCAGCACAGCCTTTAGCTCCAGGATGTCACTGAGAGCCATGGACTCCAGTTCCTCCTAAAAAAACAGGTTTGTAATGCACATAAACCACATCATAGACCTCATCACAGAGCTCAGCCCATACAAAGGAAGTGACAAAGGATGTGTCCTGTGTAAAGTTTATTCATAGTTTATCTATGCAATGAATTTGTACCAAGGCACCCTCAATTTAGAAACAGAACATTAAAACTAAAATACACAATAAAGGATAATATAACAAATATAAATGATATATATGTATATTTGTGAGGTTCTAGGCCACCATGAACCTCCACATTGAACAGCTTTAATACTCCTTGGCGGAGACCATGAAGTCTTAGAGTGATTTAATATTCATTTTCAATAATAATAGAAATGTATTTATATAGCACATTTTTATACAAAAGGAAATGTGCTTCACAACAACTGAAAAAATACACATACAAAGTCAGATGCAAGAAAGAAAGGGAAAAAGATTTTAGAGATGAGCAAGGTAAACTATTGGTAAAGTTTCTAGTTATAAGCAGCAAAGTTAGAAAAGATTAGTTTTAAGTTTTCTTTTCTTTATTTATCTTAATATTCTTAATTTTAAACAAAGGGCACATTCAGCAATGTGTTCTCCATATTAAAATCTCTGTTGTCACAGAAGTGTTTTCTGATACAACGCCCCATTGACAACTAAATTTGTTGGCACTGTTTAAATGTTATGATTTAGCAACAGTTCAGGTTTAGTTAGGTTTAGGCACAGAAATTACTTTATTAAGTTTAGAGAAAGATCGGCTGAAATATTTGCTCAAAGTTAGGAAAACATCATGGTTTTGGTTAAAATTGCAACTTTGTTAAGGTTTGAGGAACTTCACTGTTATGGTTACAATAATACCCACATTGTTATGGTAAGGGAACAATCTTAGTTGCGGTTGCTTAATTGCTTACTTGCAGTAGGAAAAGGGACACAAAAAGTCTGACATTTCTGTAACGTCACCTGACGTCCTTCTTTACTCCCAGAGGAGTCATAATTATGGCCACTTGAAGACTTTGTCACTTGAACATAAACACTGATTTTGCTGAAACAACTGATTTTTTCTTGGGAGGATAGTCTCAAACATAGAGTTGTGTATCATCTGCATAGAAGTGGAAACAGATGCCACGTTTGAAGATAACAGAGCCTAATGGCAGCATGTACAGCCAGAACAGAACGGTGCCTATCTATTTTCACACTCATCTAATCAACCCCTGGGTGGGGTTAATGTCATCCTGGAAGAAACTACTCCCATCAGATTTGTATTTTAATTTGTAGTCTGTAGGTGTCATGTGCTTCTTACCTTGGTTTCAATGTCTGTGAGCAGTAGTTTGGGACCGCGCACCTCCATCAGCATGCTCTGACCCCACACACGACCCATCTCGTCCAGCAGCTTCAGTCGCTCCACACAGTCAGTTACACTTCTCAACTCCTCACCATCCAGGTCACAAGTGAACAAGTGCTGCAGCAGAAAGGCGTTATTAAAACACAACATTAAATATAACGTGAATCCGAAAGGGTCACATTTGTATGGGTAATGTATGATACCTCCACTCTGAACTGAAATTTGTCCATCATGTTGTTTATTGATTCTGCATACTCCTTCCTTTGCACTGTTAAAACACAAACCAGAGCTCAGTATTATTGTTAAAAAAAACTGTAGAGGTGTAACCACTCATTATAGCAAGTACAGATGTGTTAACTTACAGTAAATTGACTTTGCACTGGGCCTTGACAGATTTGATACCTGTGATGACACTTCATCCAGAGTGGAGTAAACACTGTCACAACAAATGCAAGCAATTTACAACATTGATCGTCTGCTGATGAATAAAGTTATGAATAAAATAATCAATCAATTAACAATTAACCACATAAGACTGTAAAATACATACTTAGACTGGATCGACTCTGCATAGCTGCTGGTGTCAATGTCAAAGGGACTGTTACTCCTGAACATCGCCGGTACTGACCTAACACACCTGCAATATCATTATGATAGGAATTAGATTAGAATGTGTAATGTCAGTGGTATGAGCTGACTCAGCAACCTCCATCTGAAATATATCTTGATATGATTTATTTTGAGAGGTTAGCTATCAGTCTTAATTCAGAGTTTATTGAAGGTTAATAATCAAAAGTTTTAATTGAGAAAAATAACTTTTCCAAATATCAGAAGCCAAATGTTTGCTAAAACAACATCTATGTTATTACTGCAAATAAATTAATAAATCAATCTGGCTAATCTTTATCAACTAGTTACAGTCACCTAGTAATTGTGACCAACCTGAAAACAATATATGTATTGTGTTTTTAGAATGTCTTAAGAGTTTATATATTTAATATATTATAAATACAGGTTTGTTGACAGTCTTATACCACAAATAGATTAACTCAGTCCGAAAACCATCTCCAGATATTTCAAACAAATACAGTGTGATTTGTCGAGAACATTTTACTGTAAAGTAATCCAGATAACTTTTCTATCGGTTCTAATCAGATAAATCTTCTTTCTTGTAGATGCTATAAGAAGAAAGATTGGGGTGATATGGATTTTGTTTGAATTGTCTTGAAATGCAAACACAGAGCAACCCTTCACTACAGATCATTTACACAAATAACAAAGACATATCCTGTTTACTGTGGATTTTCATTGTCAAAAGTTCTTACCTTTGATGTCTGACAGTTGAATGTTGATGTTACTTCCTTCTGTATTTGGCTATTTAAAGTTTAGTACAAATACAACTCATATTTTAAACCAGTGGCCGAGTCAACGGTATGATACACCCAAGACTTCCTCATAAAAGACAGGGACAAAGTCCGGTGTCAGTAGCAGAATGATCTGTTGGGCTGACTCTGTTTAGGGTGTGAGATGTCTAGTGTGGCATCCCATCTGAGCAAAGGTTACCAGATACGAAGAAAATCACCTTACCCTGGAAAAACTTAAAGGTTTGCAGGTCTATAAATAAGAACCTGTCTGCCCTATCAGCGGTTTGTCATTTTTTCCAGCGTGGGATTGCGAGTATTATACCACAGTGCTCCAACAACACATCAGATACACGCAGGGTTGGGAGTGTTACATTAAAAATGTAATCTGATACAATTACTAATTACCTGTTAAAGAAGTAGTGAGTAACCTAATCCAAAAATCACAATATTAAAATAATGTAACTTCATTACTTTCTGTTACTTTGGAATACCTAAATAAAAATGAGACATTTAATAATAAGGAATAGAAAATATCAATGAGAAATATTGTTGCATGTGTATTCTCTAAGATAACAGAAAAATGTAACTGTAGAAAGAATGGAAAAATGTGTGTCCACTTCTCAAAGTATTTTTAAAGAAAAACAGATGTACAGTATATAATTGTAATCCTGCTAAAAAATCTCAATTTTTTACTGAATGTAACTGTAATCTGATTATATATTTTATAAATTTCATCAGTGTTGTTAAATTGTAACACTTCCAATCTCTCATGTCAACATTCTTTTATCTGACTTGCCATTGAAACCACACAAGTGTAATCAAATAAGACACCATATTTCTGAATCACACTGCCAAACATTAACCAGGACGAATTCCTCAGTGATGTAATGAACACAGCGTAAACAACATGACCCCATCTACCTCAAAGGATCTCACAAAGGGGAGAAATAATATGTGTGGAAATCCAGAACTAACACAGGTTACCTATTCATCATCCTATTTAAATGTAATGTGATCATAAGAACTTGTTTTAGATTCATATAATCCATACTCAAAATCAGCAGAACTAGAGGTGAAAAAATAACAATCCTGCATGTTAAGCAGTAGTAGAAGGTACATTGAGGATTGTAGTTAGAGTAATTACAATTTTAGGTAGTTTTAGTATTTCAGTTGTTTGCTACCCCATATTTTAACTGCCTGAACATTATGTAAAATGGTTAAAATGAGTTGTACCGTGACTGACCACAACATTTTGTGCTTAAATTTCAATGCTTAATGAGTAGTTGTATTTTTGATACTTTAAGATTTTAATCATACTAACAATGCTTATTTACTTTTAATTGAGTAACATTTTGAATACAGGACTTTTACTTGTGATGGAGTTTTGTGGTATTGTTACTTTTACTATCTATCTAACGAAACTAAATACTTCTGTTGTTATTATAAGTATAAAGAATATTTATGGTATTCAAACAATTAATCGATCAATTGGTATGATATCATATATTCAGTGAATACACAATTCTATAGCAAATATGCAGCTCTCATTTGCAACATGCTGTTGTCTATTCAATAGAGTCTGAAGTCAGGGAGCTGATGGCAAACAGAGACTCATACTGTATATTGGTCAGTCTAATTATATTTGTGGCATTTATCAACAGATGGATGGAAACCAAATGAACGTAACTAACCAAACAACCTCACTTCGGAGGTTCAGGACATCAACTGGTGTGGGCTCTTGTCTAAAACACATTTAACCAGACCTGCTGCTGTTAATCTCAACCACTGGGGGTCAGCAATGCTGCACGAGCACATTCAGAAAGTGCAGAGCTGCAGATAAGTACCTAAAAAATCTGTCAACCTGCAGTCACCAGTCAGCCGGAGCAGAAAAGTAAACAAACAATGTTTAGACAGGAACTAAAGTGAACAGCTCCTTAAGAGGGGATACATGTAATAAAAGTTTATTGGAATTGCATGTTACATGATTTATAATGATTCAAGTAATTCATAAACTCCAATATTAGTTTGGCATTTTTATTGATAAAATAAACATACAATCACACGATAAATGCACTTACATTCAACTAGGCATAAAACATAATTCAGCACCCCAAAGTGCAGTGGCATCCATATTAAAACAGATCCATGTAGCTGAATGTTGTTGAGTTAAATGGCTGTTTAGATACAATACATGGTTTAAAATCAAAGATATGAATACAAAAATATCCAACAAAATAAATGTAAAAATAAAACAACTGAAGACGAACCTGCAGGCCAGGTGACCAGATACTTCTGTCAAATTTGACTTTTTGTTGTTAAAAACATGGAAACACCAAATTACATGTGCTGGCAAGATAAAGTGATCTCAGACAGCTGAGTACAGCCATAAATACATGGAAGAAGCTTTAATTCACATTTATATGTTATCCAAAATGTACAAATCCCATGCTAGAGGCATTGCTTCAAAAGATAAAAATCATTCTGCCCTGTTTCTTGACTCGAGGACAGTTTGGTAATCACTCACCCATTTTGGACAAATAAGGCACTGGGTAATTTCTGTAACTCATTAACTATGTTAAATGCTCCCATGCAGCAGGAAGGACTTTGGCCCGAGCAGTCCCCAGATCTGTTTACGGTCCCTGCACACATAATGCAAAGTAATGCAGGCGTAAAGGCACTACATCTATATACAGAAAAGCATTGTCACAGCACATTTAGACTAGAGAAAAGTATATGAAGCCTACAGTATATCGTGTACACTTCTAAATATGATTACACATAAGTACTTCTTTGCTAACAGTAGGTAACTCTGCAGTGTGAAACATACAGAGATATATGATATATGTTAATTCACAGTGGGGGCTGCTTCACTGTGCCTGCAGAGCCTGGACAATGTTAATACCCGAGCCAGGGGGCAACGCCCAGCCGTCCTGGCCCTGGTGGGTCTGTAGCAGGCAGTACAGCTGCTTTAGGTGGGTCACTATGTTGTCTTTGATATCTGGGATTGAAATCTGCAGGCGAACGCTCCCGCTGTCGAAGGATCGCGTGTTGTCTCCAGAAAACATCTCGGTAATCATACGGGCCACCACTGGAATGACCTGCAGGACAGAGGATGGACCGGTATGAGTCACACAATCAGACTCTCAACACACACACAAAATATATGAAGCATACAGATTATCAACAGTCCTGTGATTCAAATAACAAGGATTAATAGTTGTTCCTCAGTATGAAAACAGAAAAAAAGGAGCTATGTGAAAAAAGGTGTGAAGAGTTGCAGATAAAGTTAAA